TGGCCGAATACCTCAAGCGTGTGACGGAAATGTTACGCCCCTTAACATACTGTGATCATGCCATCTCCCAGCAGGACGATTCACCCCTTGTCCAAATACCCACACTTTCGGTCTTTTACTATCACTTGACTACTTATATGACGTATGTCCTGTATTTGGCCCAAGTGTTCAAGTGCGGATGAAGACCATAAGTGTGTGTCGAACTTTTCATTACCGTATGGGACACACTTATAGTGTTGTAAAAATGCAAGTGTTTGCATAGCTTTATTTTAATTTAAAAACTTTGCATTTTAAAATCAACTTCTAAATATCTGTTCAGTAGTGCCTATAACAGATGACAGTTTAAGTTGCAGCTGCTTCTAATTAAGTGATGAAAAGCATTTGCAAATGGTGTACAAAATAAATATCACCACTACTCCTCTTTGCACCAGTAAAACGTGCAACACTGTTTTTCTACCAAATTATATGCAATAATAGCCTAATTATTATATTAATATTTAACTTACATTGGAAAAGTTTCCGTAACCTCTCGCGAGATCTCTGAAAAAATCTTACGATTTATTCCAAAACATGATGCACGATGGGATACACTTAAGCCTCGAATAGCGCTCCAGAGCGGTATTCAAGAAAGTGTGGATTTAGTGTGTGTTAAGGTCACTGCACTTTGGCGTTTTGAGGACCTGGGACAGTTTTGCGCACTTACTTCCTGTCGCACGCACGCACGCGCTCTCAAGTGGCCAAGACTGCAAGTGTGGGTATTTGGACAAGGCATGACTCTCGAGAGAGAAGTGAATCACAGTTTCAAGGCATGTGATTGGCTGTTCATTACTGATGTCACTCTTTCATGTGCACGTGCTCCATTAACTCAGGATCAAGCCTGCATTGACAGAGAAAGTTGATGATCAGCTTCATGGTACCAACAAAGCTGGATTGGACTGGTTTGGTTTTGTCAACTCAAAACTAATCTTGTAACCCCGAGTTTGTTCAGCCACCATCAAGGTACAGGCTTATATGATGTCATTACGTTGCTGTCTTGCCGCCAGCCAATCGCTGCATTGCTGATCGTGGTTTCGAGTATCGATACATAGCCCCTTTTAAACCAACCCATGAACGCGCAATTATCTCAGATAACTCAATCCAGCCATACTAATCATCAACAACAGGTGCGTTCGAAGAACCCAATTAGCCAGATCCTGATTAGCGCAATTATCTTGGATGTGACATTTCATCTCGGATATAATAAGCGACGTACGAAAAACGGGCCCCTGGTGTGTAACTGGCCGTTGTTTTAATTTGTTTACATCTAATGCAAAACACTTTTGTATGGTTGTATTCCATGCTTTTTCAGCGCCATAGAAATGTGATGGCAATTCGTTTGCCTACCCTGCCGTTGTGTTCTACTCGTCGGTTCTGGATGAGGGTAAGGAACAGAGACTGGTGGCAGCGAGTTTAATGTAGCTATAGCAGTGTTGAATAACTAAAAGCCCACTAAATAAAATGTTTATTAATAACAACTGTTACTTATATTGTAGTTTTATTTATTGATTACTCAAATTACACAAATTCATTTTGCCAATAATAGTTTTGCCAAAGAATTGCTTAATTTTGTGTCCGAGGACATGAACTAGTAATTACTGTCATTACGACATGTGAACGCAGCATAATTTCACACTTCCTTAAAGGGTTAGTTCACCCAAAAATGAAAATTCTGTCATTAATTACTCACCCTCATGTCGTTCCAAACCCGTAAGACCTCCGTTCATCTTCGGAACACAAATTAAGATATTTTTGATGGAATCTGAGAGCTCTCTGACCCTCCCATAGACAGCAAGGATCCTGGAGGTCCAGAAACAGCAAGGAGATCGGTAAAATAATCCATGTAATCTTAATCGTAAATCCACCATAATTTTACGAAGCTACGAGAATACTTTTTGTGCACAAGTAAAAAAAAAAAAAGACTTTATTCAACAATTCGTCTCCTCCGTGTCACCCTGGCGCCATTTTGGAGAGTATGGTGGCGCGGAGGAGACTAATTGTTGAATAAAGTGTTTATTTTTTTTTCTGACAGAATTTTCATTTTTGGGTGAACCATCCCTTTAATGTTCTTTTTGGAGCTTGAAATTGTTGGACCCCATTGACTTCTACAGTTTGGACAGAATCATTCTTCAAAATATCTCGTATTCTGTTGAGGGGGAGAAAATGATGACAGAATGTTTCATCTTAGAGTGAACTATCACTTTAATTTCGAAATCTGATTCTCAGCCCCGTGACTCCTGGATCCGTCATGTGCGCTGGAATGTGGCAGGGACAGTTTCACAGATGCGACAAAGGCTGCGCCACAGGGGCCCTGCTGTCCCCAAATCCATAACCCCTACAGTGGAGCAGTGCTCTGGGAACGCTCAGTGCCTGACAATGGACACTAATTGCTGGTTAACTTGAAAACGCTCAAGTGCTCTAATTTATAATCTGACATCCAAAGTTCTTCAATGGCCTTTGTGTGTTTGCACAGTGAAGCTAAATATGACCACAGGCCAATGAGAGCAAATCTGAGCCTCCACAATAGTTGTTGTGCTAGCGTGCATGCAAGCACATCACGCAAGAATGGAGAACACCCTTCTGATGAATATTAAAAACAACTACACAAATGTGATGGCGTTACTAAAGATTTCTTTTGGACGTCAGAAGTTAGTACAGCAGGACTCCAGATTTTATGAGCGAGACGTTTGTAAAAGTCACCGAAACTCCATTTGTGTGGAAACAGATACAGTTCTGAAGGGGAGGGCTGACCCGTTCTCGATTTTCTTCTTTTGTCACAAAGGCCTTGTGAAAGCAGACAGTTTGTTGACATGCTTCTTTGATAACCGGCACTCTAGAACATTCTTGTTGATTCTGCTCAACTATCAGTGTCGCACATCTCCAGAGTGAAAGCACCAGAAACTAAACGAGATGGCTGTTTTCAGGCCGTTTAACTTTTATGTGCATTAACAAGGTTTAAACTAGCCTTTCTTTAATCCACATTAGCTGCCAGACAGATGTAATTACTTGGACAGCTGTCATACAGATGGCCGCCTTCCCTCCTGTTATATAGAAGTTAATGGCATTGTAAGTGCTGAATACTCTGCTGTATTGGATTCTAAATTAATACTTTTGAGTATTTTTTTTTTAGTTCCAATCACAAGTTAGTGTTCATTATATAGTTAGATTTTTTTTCGTAGAAAATCAATGTGAAATTGTGTTTCACTATAATTAATCTCTCTCTGAAAAATACATTGTTTATCATTAATGAAATGTCCGGTTTGCTTCAGCGCCAGTTCTGCATCATCGCCCTCGTTCAGTCTTGTGAGCTCCACTGCGTTCCGGTTTTCCCTTCTCCATGTTGGAATAAATCACGTCACTGTTTCAGTCTGTAACAGTTCAATCTCAGGCTACCAATCCTAATCTTGCAATCTTAGCAGACAGGAAGGAGTGGAGGATAAAAACAATGGGCTTGGGACAGGAGTGCAAGTCCAGTTGCTGTGAATAGAAAAAGAAAAAAAAAAGTATTAAGCGATTAAGGGAAGTTCCTGATGTGGTAAACATATGTTGAGAAACACAATCATGATCAGACAGGTCTTTCAGAGATGAGCTGTCTATCAGTACAGACATGCATCATTTCCTGTTCTGAAGAATTTCATATAAGAATGTGTGATACAGCAAAAATATATTGTATTGACAATATGTATTAAATATCTCTGTATTTGTTTGCAGTGCAACGGAATAAAAAAAAATCCATTCAAAGAATAATTTTAATCAAACAGCTATTTTAATCAGTAATAAACAGTATTTATTAATTTATATTAATGTATATACAACTCGTTTTAACAGTTTGAGTTGACAAGATGTTTTACAGTAAGAAAAAAAAAAAAAGGCGATATTGTGAAATAATTATAAATATCTATTGTCTATTTGAATTTATTTTAAAATGCTGGTCAGAGGTAGAATGGTACAAAGGAACACTTTCTGTCTTCTGAACATATAAATTTTTTACTGTCATTTATTTTTCCTGTAAATGTAAGGGACTCATTATTGTATCTCATTACGTTTAATATTCTTAAAAGGAATAAATGATACATTTTTCAGTAAATATAATTGCGCTCCTTTCTGATGCGCTCCATGCATTTTAAGTTTAACCGTGACTCGATTGCTGATTAAATGCACTATTTGCGAACAGAAATAAGCACACTGATTTCAGTCCATTATATTTATACACTGAACAAAATTATAAACGCAACACTTTTGTTTTTGCCCCCATTTTTCATGAGCTGAACTCAAAGATCTAAGACTTTTTCTATGTACACAAAAGGCCTATTTCTCTGATGCGCAAAACTCTGCATTTGAACAGTCAATAGCAAATACTTAAACTAATAACAAAACAGTAGCTGATTCAGAAGCGCCAGATTGTCATAGCAAAGTCAGAATTACCTCCTCTCCTAGGTTCACGAAACGGTCGTCCATAAAATGCATTGCTGTTCTGTTGTAAGTGATCCAAATAAAGTGCTTTTGCTTTCGCACTGAAACACACAGCGTCTCCCTGACATGGTTGCTTCAACACTAACTGCGGTTACTGAAACCATGCCTTCTTTCTTTGCGTGCACATTTCGGCATCATTATGCTAATATTTCCACATAGTGATGTAGATATGTGGGGGCGTGTTAGAATGAGCCGTTTTAGGGGGGCGTGGCAGAGTCTTAACTTTGATAAAGAATATCTCTTTGGTTTTGAGACTTTAGTCTTTGCAACGTCAGGGATCTTATCTATGCACAATCAGCTTGTAACACTCGAAAGAGAAAGGAAAACTTGAAATCGCATCATATGACCCCTTTAAAAAACAGCAAAACTGCCCCATCATGAATGACTAATTTTGTTGGTGCTGAATGAACCTCAACTTTTACTCACAATTTCACCCTCGTTCCCACCGAAATCCAAATAGAGGATCCGTACTCCATCGTCAGCAGAAATCTTCAGCTTTTCAAATGGGTAACTGAAGAGAGGCTGTGCCACAGAGCTGTCCTCTCCATCAGCTATAACAGAGAAACCTCGCTCATAGTGAATGACCAACCGACAGTCCTGAGCCTGATACATACAACCTGAAGAAACAAACACAAAGAATATTCTGAATTAAATACAGCCATCACGATTACCATAAATAATTACTTTGAGTTGTCATACCAGAGGGTTAAAAAGCAGACGTGAAGCAAATATTAAAGTAAGTACATTTTCATTATTATTATTATATGATCATTAGATCCGTGAAACTGTCTAAAATTGTCCTATTGAAATGCAACTACGACGAGTTGATGAAATTCTTCCTGCATCTACATGAAAGTTATTCATGTAAAAGTTCTAAGACTTTTTCTATGTACACAAAGGCCTATTTCTCTCAAATATTGTTCACAAATCTGTCTAAATCTGTGTTAGTGAGCACTTCTCCTTTGCCGAGATAATCCATCCACCTCACAGGTGTGGCATATCAAGATGCTGATTAGACAGCATGATTATTGCACAGGTGTGCCTTAGGCTGGCCACAATAAAAGGCCACTTTAAAATGGCCAAAATTAAAACACTCCATAATTTTGTTCAGTATATAATGTCAAATCCATTGGAAATGAATGTAATAGAGTCTGATTGCCTAAAGCGCTCAAAGACTGCAGTGAGGCTGATCACACGGGATGAAGCTCAAATCATAAATGAATCTAGAGATCCAAAAACGTAATATATTTGTTCATGTAACAACATTACACAACAGCTAAATTTAAGAGAGAATTCCATTAAATTCTTATCAATTTTAGTCTATTCGTTTACACTGCTGCCGCATTACGAGATAAACAAACGTCTTCTGCTGCGCTTTGTTCCTGTAGTCGACAGCACCATCTAGCAGTTTGGCTGTGTGGTTGAAGAAAGACACACGGACGCAAACGTGAGACAGCAAAGCCTGTATTGTGCAATATCAAAAGTTGTCGCTCCAAATGTGTATTTGAACTAGGGCTGCACGATAAATCGCATGCGATATTTAACGCGCATCTTGTCAGTAAAGCCATTCTGTAATCAGCGGTAAATCTCCATCACCTGCGTGCTTTCACATTGAGCAGCATTAACTACACAGAGCCGTTGTTCACAGACGAGCTGCGCAAAACCACGTTCATATTCGCGCGATTTTTTGCGCAGCTCGTCTGTGAACAACGGCTCTGTGTAGTTAATG